GTGGGAGCGTGTCTGGGCCCGTGTCTCAGTTCTTTTCTTTCTGCTAGTTTAGTGCCACTCCAAGAATGCAGACAATGCTGGCTACGACTGTTTCATATTTGATTTCCACACTTAAATCTGCACTTGTTAAATGAAACCCCATTGTCAGGTTGGCATGCATCCACGCTGCCTCCTCAGGTCCGGCTTCAGAGCTTGCTGTCTGTGCTTGGGTGTCCTGCTCGTCACCCTTCAGTGAGGATCAGGTATGCAAAGAGCATTTTGCTGTTTTAGTGCTGCTTGTGGCATTGCAACAAAAGCTTTTGGACTTTTCTTGCAACTGCATCCATGGATAACCCTCATAAATCTTGGTCTGAGGGCAGACAAGTGCTGCAGGGAAGGGATGGGGTTTTGGCACGGCCTCAAGAGCGGGGGATCAATCGGGCACTCGGTTGGAGCTGGTCTCTGGGCAAGGTACCAGCTGTGCGGCCCACAGGAGAAAATGCTTGAGCAAGCAGGGCCTGATTCGGCAAAGGGCCAATATCCTGCCCTGCTCGAGGAGAGGACACCTCTGGGTATGCTTCTGGTCTCGGTGGGGCCCTTTGCATGCTTTGCTGGGTCGGGACCAGAGGGTTCAGCAGTTGCAGGGCTTTGCTGAAGGAGGGCAGGAGAAATGCTGTGTATTGGAAGCAAAGCAGTGACTGTGAATAACGAAGGATCATTTCATATCCTCTGTAAAATACCAGGGAGGGCATGAAAATTATGAATCTTATTAATAGAGCTTAGGGGATTACAAAATCCAACAGCTGTCCAGTCCTTTAGACTGCAGACCCTCTTGGTCTTTCTACCCTCCCATAAGCTGATACCTGCTCATACATCACTTGTGCAGTGTGACTTACCATTCAGTAAATGCCAATACTACCAAAGCAGACAGAGGTCTGCCCAAAGTAGTTTGCTGTCTACTTCAGCATGAGAAGAGGGAGAGGTAATAGGATGGGGCTGTGGTATCATGGGGTGTGATGCTGGAGCAGGAGGAAGCACTGGCCATGTTTTAATTCCTCAGATGCCCCGGAGGAGTCCTCTGCTGGGCTGTTGTCATGGAAACACTGTTATTTTTGTGGATTCAAGACTGGCTCCAAACAAAGGTTAAAGGGAAGAAAAAAATCCAAGGGATCGGATGCATGGAAGGTAAGATTTTCCTCAGCACAGCAAAATTTGCAAATGTCTGAACCAGCAGTGAGTCCTCCAAGGCATGTGGGCTGGAGGTACGCCGGGGCTGGAAATTGATGCTGTGCCTCATGCGGGAGCCGGTCGGGAGCGTGGTGCTTGGGCTCTGGCTGTGCTCTGGGTCACCCAAAGGCCTGTTCCTCCTCCTCATACTGCTCCTACCCTCACCTCTCACCCTCCTGTGCCATCAAAGTGCTGCTGCCTGAGGCTTTACCTAGAGCAGAGATGATATGTGCTGGATGGTGGTTATTTTTGACACCTCTTTTGCTGGTCAGGTAGCAGATCTATGTCTGTGCAGGTTTTAATGGCTCTGTGCACTAATGGCAGTGCAGTTTTCACTGTTGTAAGGAAGAGCAGAAATGCAAATCTTCAGGTTCTGCTTTCTGTAATGTCAAAAGCAAATTGTATAATTTCCATAAAATTTTGCCCAGCCTTTAAATTCAGAGGCCCAGGCTATGTATGCTAAAGATGTGTCCCTTTGTACCCTTTACGTCCCAGTATCATTTCAACTAAAGGGCCAAATTACTATTTAGTAAAGTGATTTAAGCATGGAATTATGTACATGGCTTCAGGGGCACTACTGAAGCACAAATGCAGTGCGAGTGCATTCAGGATTTGTCTGTCGTTGCACAGCTGTGCAGCCCTCCTGGCTGCCATTATGGCATTACAGGCAGCAGTCCACCTTCCCCGCCGTGACCGATGCTCATGTTTAAATGTCCAAACTAGAGCAGTCTTACAAAAGTCGTCACAAAAACCAGATACACAGAATATGGCCAAACTCAAACACAGGTCTAGTATTTGCAGGGTGATATGGTACCACTCATAACGCGATGGGTCTTTGCAGGGGTTTGGAAAGTCAGTGTAGGGAAAAGGGAACAGGACTGCGTAATCCAGGTAGTTGGTCCCAGCGAGCGAGCAGCAGCAGTATGGGCCAAGGAGAGGAGATGCAGTGGCAGCAGCAATTTGCACTGAGGCGCCCATGATGCTCAGTATGCTGAAGGCGAAACTAGCTACCCACTGAAATGGAGACAAAAGCATTTTATCACTTGTCTGACCTGCTGAGACGATTTTTAAAAAAACTTTAAAAACTAAAGAGCTCAGTATTTTTGTATTTCTTCATTTCCAACTTGGGAAAAAAAAAAAACTGTTTTTTTATATTCAATCTCCTTTATTCTGTGTCCAAAAAGAGATGTGATGGTAAGGAAAATTAGTAGCTTGAATGTCATGAACTTATTAAAGAAAAATGTGGATTTTTTTTTTTTACAGGGAAGACAAAGTCATTGAAACCATATTTTACTAAAAATACTAGAAGAATAAGTTGAAACAGGTATACTTATGTAGTTTGTCATATAGCATATAAGTACAGTGGGTAGCCTTTAAAATTTAAACTGCATATTTGAATAATAACAAAGTTCCTCATTATAAAACAGAAAATGTGACATGAACTGGCAGAACTACCGTGCTGGTGGGATATTTAATGTGCACCCTCTGTAAGCCCTGCACAGCACACTTGATCCACGATATCAGCAAGAAAAGTGCTTTCCTCTTTGAATGCATCGTCCAGATTAACTCTGCCATTCCCTTGCCACCTCCTGCATGTGACACCATGTAGACTCCTGGACTTGTCACCCCGACTGATAGCACCTTGCACTGAGTTACCACCTACCCCTGCCCTCAGCAGCTCCACGCAGCGGGATTTCGAGGTGGCTGAGCTCAGCTCTGGGGTAGGTGGGTGGAAAGCTTTGCTGCTTGAGCTGGCAGGAGCTGACTCACTGCTGGGTGCCAGGTGCTCAGCCCTCTGCTCCCCTGCTCTCGTGCCTCCTTCTTGTCCTGGCGTGTACCTGCCCCGGAGAGGTTTGCTGTGGAGCCAGCTCCATCCTTTGTGCCAGCTGAGAGGCTTCTCCATGCTGGGGGAAGCCTTAGAAGAGCTTTTAGGAATAATTTACATTTCCTTTTATCCAGGAACTCTGCAGGTAAAGAACTAAGGCTATTAGAGCAAGCAATAACTAGCTGCTGTGCAGGAGGGGAACGGGCTCTTCACTACCAGGCTGGAATAACTACTCTGTGTTTCTCCCTGGTCCAGTGCACAGAGAGTGGCTTTAAAAGGGGGTGGATCATGCACAGCAGAGGCAGGAGCAGGGCCCTGCCGGTGTGCATTCAAGGCCAGCTGGGAGTGTCCTGGAGGAAGTGTTAAAATTCACCTTTTGTGGACTCAGGCATAATACCGCATCCTTTTTGTGCACAGCATGGCCACAGACAGATGATGGTTGCTGTTTGTTGCCAAAAGGCCAACGAAAACTATTCTGTGCATCTCCTGCGTTTGTTATTCTCGTGCTCCTGAGCGACTTTGGGGCACTTGGAGGGACACAACCATCCCCAACGGGGTATGATACCGGCCAAGCCACCATGCTGGTACTGACCACCACTGCATGGTGACTTTGATCAGGACTCTCCTGCTGACAAATGGGGAGCAGGGAAGACACCCAGGACACTACCAATGGGAGTGCCTGAAGGAAACCCCAGGCAGCACAGAAAGGAAGGTTAAGGTTATTTAGTGTCTGCTTCAAGCTGCTTTTGTCACTCTGGACAAAGAATGAGTTTGGGTTTGGTTATTCTTCCAAAGTGCTGTCAAAGGCACAGCAGACACTTGCTTTATTCACCAGGTCTCCATCAGGGCAGGGTACATTTCGTCATTGTCCTTATTTCAGAACCAATTTTGACTGGGAAAGTATATGTGTTGGTGATGGGGAGCTGACATACACAGGCACATTTTCATTCATTTAAATACACCAGCAGTGACTCTGGCTTGCAGTGAGTAATCTTTTTTCCAGTGTAAGCATCTTGGACCCACATGTATCTTTGCTCCTAACTTCAGGCTGGTGAATGGAAAGAAGAGCTGAAGATGTGCTGAAGGCAAGAGTCTGTGTCCGAGGACACAGAAAAGAGCACCATCTGGGCTGTAATTTCTGGTGCGACGTAGGAGACCGTATCAACACAGATCCAGAACCTTGAGCAATATTGTCCTGCGGTTTGATTTCCATCCTGGCACGCTAAATGCAGTAAGGCCCAGGTTTTTCATGGCACTTTCCATTTTTGATTTAGGGAATTTGAAAAATACTTGTCTGGAGGCTGAGCCTGAAGTTATAATCTTGGCATATCCATACCATAAAATTCCTGTGGATAAAAGCAGAAACATCTGGATTCATGAGTGGATGTTGGCTAAATCCACCAGAAAAAAAAAGTCTTCAAGGGATCCTAGAGGGTTCTAGCCAGAATAAATAATACAACAAAATAAGAGTGCTATTAAGAGTAATTGTAATACTGAAGCTGAATTATAAGATGAGGGCCAAGCCCTTTTCACAATCTGCTTTTCCAGCTAAGAGCCCTTCAATTTACACTTAACACACATGTGGCTGATGGAACAAAGAAAAAATTGAAGAAGGATGAAAGCAGTGCAGAGATTATTCAGCCTTGCTGGTTTAGCTCCAGGCACATCATTTAAATGAGTAGATGATTAGTTTCCAGTTTGTTTTAAATTCTCTGGCAAGAAATTTTATGCTGTATCCCAAAGTTGGATGTGCTTAAAACTTTTTTTTTTTAAAGGCTCTGCCATTTTGTTTTATTTCTTAAGGCAAGACTCTGAAAGAGCTCTGCAGGAGTCACCTGAGTGCTGGGAGTGGAAGGGCAGCCTGGCTGTGTCACTGATCAGGCCATGTCCCTGCTCCCAACCTGTGAGGACCCTGGGACCAGGGAACAGTTGCTCCTTTTCTCCCTCACCCCTGGGAGGCTGAGCCCTGTCTTGCTGAGCCAGAGGTTATATCTAAGCTCAGCAGCACCCAAAGTCAAGGGAAGTGGCCAAAACCACTGTTCCCCACAGACTTGCAGCCTCTTCGGCTGCACCCTGTTGTATCGGCACCACTTGCCTGGTTTAAAGCTAGTGAAAGGGGAAAGGTTTGTATTGCTTACTCCTTGCATCTCCTTTTGGTGTTTTTGAGGTTAAGAGCTGCTGAACAGCACATCCTCTCACCACCTAACCCCTCCTGCATGGGTCTCTTCCTTGCGCCAAGTCTCCAAAGCTGCCACGAACACCAGGTCAGGCAGCATGTCTTCCCCTGCTGTGACGGGGTGAACTACACCCACAGCCAGGTGATTAAAATGCCTGTTGCTGTGTAAAATGTATGTTGCTGAAAATGCCCTTAACACACCATCCCTCCCCAACAGAGGTAGTCAGCATTTCTCATGACCTGTACTTTGTCCATGCAGATCTGCATTACTGACCTTGCAAGTTGTGCTTCCCAATTCCCGGAAAGCCTTGGGTATTTGCCTGCTCTGTAACCTTCAGCCAACTCAGCTTGGGGTGAGTTGCTTCCTTGTAGAATAAAAACCCTATTGGGCAGTCCTTGTCCTGTCCACCCTCCTTGTTGCCCTCGTCTTCCCTGTTGTCCGTACCACAGCCAACAAGTTGAATAGCTCCTGAGGGAGCTTGTCAGTTGGTACCATTCTAAGAGGTCCTCCTCCACGGAGAGACTTTAGGTTTTCTCCATGGAGATGCTTCCTGTGATGCACTACCAATGCTTAATGCTCTCTGAAGACTGCCACTAGGTTCTGAACAGTGGGATACAAGTTTGGGGTGAGGCAATACTTGAAGTATGACTGGAAATACCAATGATACACAAACAGTGACATTTACGCTCCCTTTGTTCCATGCAAGGAATAATCTTGTTTATAGTGTAAGGAGTGGGAGTTCAATTGGCCTTAAAATAGCCTCAACACATCTAGGAAATCCATAAAAAGGAATGCCCCAGTATTTCTTAGGACATTATTTTCAGCAGGTCTTGTTATTTAATTTGCTGCCAACATCTGTCGTTTCCTCCACAGCCTGGATCTGAACCGAAAGCTCACAGGACCTGATGCAAAAAATTCAGAGCACTGCTCTTTGTTCGCATGGTATAGCATCTCGACCATCAAAGTGAAACGAGGAAATACATCTGCTCAGAGATGTTACAAAATATTTGTTTTAGATTAGCTGCTATCACTGCCACTGTCCACATTTGCAGTCGTATTCTTCCACCCAACTTGAAGCTGAAGGCGATAGGAAGGTCTGCCGAAACTGCAGGGCTCTCGGTTAGGAACAAATAGTTTGAGAAGCTGAGGAATGAGAGATGAAGCAGAGCTAAATTTAGAATCTCAGATAAGAAAATATCTGTATCTTCAGTGCTCTGTGGTTTTATTTTGCTCTACACAAAGCACACCTTGGTTTTGCATGGCTGTTTGCAGATTATACCGACTCGAAGGCTTGAGGAAAAAAAAGGCTTTGATGTCTTCAGTAAACAAATAGCAGTGTTAAAAGATCTTCAGTTCTTGTTAGCATGCTGCAAATAGCTATGTTTGAAGAAAAATAAACATCCCAAGGTTGATGGAAGGGTAGGAAAGCCATAAAGTACTGTACTCAAATCCCTGGTATGAGGACATCAGAAATGAGTGTGCCATGAAAAAACCCTTTATTTTCTCTCTCCTTTTGGATTAAAAAGGAAAGAACAAACTGGCGCGTGGTTTACCAGCCATGCGGTGGGAATACATGGGTATAAAACCCCATGGCTAAATCATTACCATCCAAATCACAAGAATACTATCAAGTCCACTGGAAAACCAAAGGTAGGAGTCCCTTGGAGATCTTCCCCTCCAACCGTTGGGGTGAGGGGAAGAAGACTCACCCTTCCTCCAACCCCCCTTTTGACTCAGCTTCCTCAGTGCTTCACCTGCTGCCACAGGGCCACCAGCACCTCTTAACCCTCGCAGCTACAGGACCTCGTCCCAAAAAACCTTATCGACTTTTACATTGTGCAAGCAGCCAGTTTCCATGAGGAGGAACCAGGCGTGCATCACCCTCTTAGTGGGGAGGATGAGGATTTCACGCCTGGCTGTGTGCCTACCTGAGCTTTTACTCTGTAAAGCGTGTTGTACTTGTCTCATTGCATCACTTACATCCCTTTGGAAATGCAAAAGCTTAGGAAATGAACCAAAGAAAAGAGCTAAACGATGATCTCAATTACACCAGCATAACCCTGGGGATGTTAATTTACATTTATGTCCTTTTAACAATCCAAATTTGGTTCAGAACAAGGAAGTTTGGGTTTTCTCTGTAAAGGGAAATTAAAAATCAGCAGGTCACGATAATAATCAATACACCAATATTTACTGCAAATTTAAATCTTATCAAGAGCCTCTAGGGAGCCTCTTGCTTTAGTTTCATGTAATTCCAAGCATTTCTCTGTTTAAAGAGAGTTCACAGGAGCTGGGAAATAAATAATTCAAACACAGTTGACTTTTTAAAGTCTCTGTAGCATCACTAGCATCTTTCCTTTGATAACACTTTTGTTCTGCCTACCAAAGCTCTGTTCCAAATGGGACTGGCGAGGCAAACACTCTATCCAACGAACCAGGGCTTATAAGAAAAAAACAGGGGAAAAAAGCAAAAATTCTGGAAAAAAATGCTTTTAAACCCAAAGGTAATAAGTATCCCTCTGGTAACTTCATACAAGCTCTTCACTTTCATTGTGAGACTCTCCCTGTTGGATTCACAGCGAGGGTTTGTAGCTAAAGCTGAGGCAGAGACAGTTCATAATAAACAGAAACTCCTTAGAGACTGTAGCCATGGCATGTGAGAGCTGTTTACCTAGCACGATGAAGCACTATTCTGTTTATCTTCAGATGTTCCTACAGAAACAGAAGGTATTACAGTGTAGTAAATAAGGCCCCTTCACCCCCAGGAATAAGGTGGGGTTTTTTTCCCAGACTCATTGCTCTTCACTTTCAGCTGCAGAAAGCCCATCCTGTGATTTCTGAATTACTCCTTCATCCATTTTCCCACGAGGACAGACCGCTTCCCGGTGTAGAGAGCGGCAGAAACTTGTTGACAGCAACTGGGGTTGTTGTTTCCAATGCTGACCTGCCCATCGCAGCCAGAATGAAACCGGCACCCTCAGTGCCAGCAGTGTCTGCAGGACACAGATGCGTCCTCCAGAGCAGGACCACCTTCTCCCCAGGGAGCGTTATTGTTGATGGAATGTGTTTGTCGCAGGGAAATTTAGCGGGAATAGGCTCTAGCCTGTGACTTGAAATCTAGGGTATCGCACAGCTAATGCTGTTGGTGTCTTTGTTCCAAATGTGAAAGATAAGGTCACTGAGAGCTTTGAGAGGCACTTTGGAGGCTGGAGGTCACTCCTAGGATCTGTTCCTGGGCACGGTGGGGGAAAGGCCTTTGATTCCAAAGGGATTAGGGCTGGGTGCCTTCCACTGCTCGTCAGACTGGAGCCCTATTTCTCCCTACCTGCCACAGCAAATATTTTGATCGCAAGAGCCAAAGCAATCATGTTGTGTACTCCATCATATGCAATCCCCAAGGCATACTGCTGATAACCATCAGACTCATTTCAGACCTGTGGTGTCTGTCCACCCCCCCTGTTGTCATCATCCGTCCGTTGTCTCCCCACCCCCCCCGCTGCTGGAGTGCTGCCACCAGCCAGGGTGGCACTGGGTACTATCATGTGCCCCAGGGCACATCCCAGTCCTCCTAAAGGAGACTTGTGCTTCAGGGCAAGCCAGCTTACATGGTGGCAGCTTCTCAGGCCACTGCAATGACAATGCCCCCTCTGCACAGCGGGGGAAAGCAGAGTGGCAATTTTAAGAAGTGGTAATTAACTTAGGCCTTTGAAGATCCTATAATACCTAATTCACCCCGTTGGGTGAGATTTGGCACTAAACTGATTTATGGCGTAGTGCAGCGGGCTGTGTGGAACATGTTTATTCAAATAACATCAGCCCTCTTCATCAAACACTATTCCACTTCTAGTTTAATTAAAACACAATTAGCAGGGCTTGCAATTTTCTTAAATGTGCCCAATCTTCTATGAAATTAATATTAATCTCTGTTCAATGTGCAAGTCAGTAAAGTGACACGTGGAAAATTACACGTTCTTGACTCAGGAATGCAAATTGGAGGATGACTTCATGTCCCTGAATGAGAAGATCGGCATGCCAGATGTGTCTAGTGCCTGACCCCTTTAAAGGCTGTGAAAGATCACACGTGACTTTAAAATGTCATTTCATGCATGCAGAAGGAAGAAAGAGAGCCCGATAGCTTTACGTTACTTAGCTTCCCATTTAATTTGGTTAGGGCGGTGTGAATGTCTTAATAACACGAAGCAGAGCTCTGATCTCTGTTCTGGCTGCATGTTTCCAATAGACACCCTAATGCCTTTCTCATGGCCGGAGTGGTTAACAATCTGTATTTTCTTGCTATTAATTAGAAGTTGTATTTCATTCCCTGATGAAGAGTGAGCCTCGCAGTGTAGCTGACAAGGTTGCAGTCCTCGCTTTGAGTCATGCATTGAATTTTACTGAATTGTTTTATCTGGAGATAAAAGCAACAAACGTGAGTATAGAATTAATACCTTTTTTAAATTGCAATTGTATTTTTAAGTCACAAAAATCAGGTGGCATTCAGTCTTTCCTGCTCTTACCATTTCCTCTGCTATAGACTTGAACGTCCTTTCTTTTCCCTTGCCCAACTGCTCGCTCCCAAAATCCTGCTGAAAAGTATCCGGAGAGTGATCCAGGTCTCTGTCTTTAATAAGCGTGTCCCCATAGCAAATTATATAACAGCATTTTGTACACTTGTGTTTTTCCTCTCCCCCAGTGCATTCCACGCACCTACACAGTCATGCTAATTAGATAATGTAATAAACTTAAACGTGGCAAAAAATCTGTTCACATGGTGTTGCAAGACAGAGCTGGATTTGGAAAGCAGCCATTCATGAATTTTGTTCTGTTTGAGAAAACCCAAAGGATGTTATTTTACTGAAGATGAAGCAAACCCCATGTAATAGGAGCTGTAGTCTAAGGAGACAAATTATTTTATTTAAGTAGTCTTCAGTGAGCCCTGATAAAAGGGCTTGCTTAAATGAAAAAAACTGTGAGACTTTAACAAAGCCATTAAAAAGAATTCAACCTAAACTAAAAAAGCAAACTAATGTTAAGTTAAACTTGATTAGTTTCGTTAAACTTAACTAAATTTAACTAATTAGTTAAACTTAAATAATCAAAACTAAACTAATGTTAATCCATAATGTATACCTACAAAGGAGCTAAGTAGCAAGGAACTTTGAGCATCAGGTGTCTTTTAAATGAAAAGAAGTGTTTACCTGGATATGGTGATAGATTCAAAATGCACCTCAATCAATTTTTCTATAGATGGTCTTAAACCATGCATAATACAGTATTCCCTGCATTCACGGGCTAATACAGGAGAGTGAAAACACAGCCTTCTCTGACATACCACCTCAGCATTGCAACCTTACACTTGCATGCTCATTTCTAGGGAAAAGAGTAATTCTGAGCACTGTACACATTCGACAGCAATGTTTAACTGGTCCTGGGTTTTACGATACAGTTGGTAACGTGACCAGCTGTCAGGTAGGCATTGCTTCTTAATTTCAGTTCAGATGCTAACAGTTTTGGCCACCGTTGCACTGAATCGCATTTAAACCTGTAGATCTATTGAGTCGGCTCTTAAATAAAACCGCAATAATTTTCATAACGACCTAGACAGACTGAGAGCCCTACCAGATGACTGCACTTCTGCAAAGCTAACGAAGGCAGTGACACAGAGCATGAAAAAAAATGGCATGTTATGAAACACACAGGAGAAAGAGCTGAGGTTGTGGCTGGGGAGTGGTTTGGTGGTCCGGGAAAAGCCAGTTCCCTGCCTGCAGATTTCATGCAACTGCCATTAATGAAGTACGATGATAACTTTCAGCTATATCCCTGATCAACACTAGATGTTGCTATGCTGCTACTCATATAAGCTATACATTAGTGAGGCTTTTAAATGGTATTTACTGCAATTTCCTCTTTCCTGTTTCTGTTATTCACTAGATTGTGAATGCTGGGTGAGCTGCTACTTTAATTTACTTTTTTTTGAAGTTTCAATTTTATTTGTATAATATCAAGTTTATAACCCCCTTGAATGTACACATAAAACTTTACAAGCCACAGACTTTTATAAGTGATAACATGAAGCAACTCCTATATGAATGTCAAATATTTACTTAAACTCTGCTTCTGGATTTTTTGCAATCCAAGGGGAATGACATTGTTAACCGGACGATTCCGGGAACAGACTGACAGCTGCAAGGCCACGGAGGGAAGTTTGTTTATAAGTGGAAAAAAAATATATAAAAAAATAAAAAAACTGTTTAGCCCTGCTGGGTTTCAGGCTTTCTACTCCCACATGTTTGAGTGGGAGAAAGGACAAATCTTAGGAGTTGATTTCCCCATGGCAACAGAAAACGGAAATTACTTTAACCCCATCTAGTGACAGATGACTCATTGCTCAGCCTGCTGCTATTTTGCAAGCACTAAAACAATACAGCTGCAAAGAAAAGGCCAACCTATATTATCTCATAGGCTGAGCGCTGGGGCTCGTGGGAGAGGGCAATTCTCTGGCTGCCTTTTTATCAAAGAAAGACAGAGCCGGAGACTTTTGGCGATTCTTTTATTGCATAAGGCAAATGTGCCTGCGTGCTCTCCGTCCCTGTGCTGCTGGAGGGCAAACCCAGAGTGTCCCTGGGACGCAGGTGATGCAGCACCCATGGGGTGAGCTGCTGGTGGGTGTCCTACTGCTTGGTCCTCCTCACCCTGCATCCAGTGGTCCAACGGGGCACTTCCATGCTTTCAGTTTAAACACACCCCCCCCTTGAATTACGTGCAATAAACTGTGCGTGCAATAGAGGAACAATTCGTTCACAAATGCAGCCCGGTGAGGGGACAGCAGGTATGAGCAGGGTTTCCAGGCCCCTACGTACGAAAAAGATATCTGATGGCAGAAGTGCATTGCTGTATTGCTGGGGAAGTCATAACACGATCGCACAGGAAAGGCTGAAATAGAAATATTCGGCTTTGAAAGCTTAATTATCCTAGGTGACAGGGTAATTAGGGAGAGTGGTTTCTGAGCAAGGACGGTGGAACCATTATCACTTGGAGTCCTTAAATCCAGATGAGGTGTTGCTGTGAAAGACAAGCTTCAGTCCAACTTGTAGGACGAAGAGGTAAGCTATACTATATGCTCAGGAGGTCAGCCTTAATGGCCGTATCTGTCTTCTTGCACCTTAGACCCCTTGCCGCAGAGCTGCACAGAGCTACCAGCTCATCTGAGGAGCATCTCTGCTGAGCATCTCCAGCATCTGGACGACAACTCTTGCTCAGCACCTTCTGGACATGGCAGAGAAGGGCTGTTTTGGAGAGGAGCTGGTTTGAGCTCATGGGTTCGAGGGTGGTTCTTCATCTGCCTCTTTCCACCAGCAGCTCAGTGCAGGAAGTACCCTCTCTACAAATGCTGGCTTTCCCCAATCCTGGTAAGGATTTAGTAAGGCTCAGAAGTAAGGCTAGTAAGGCTTACTGAGCCTC